CCCCAAAAAAAAAAAAAAAAACCTTCTCTATTCAAAGTTTTCTCACTGGATTCGGGGAGATCTCGGAGAGCGCAGTCCAACCATGTTTTCAAAAAAATAAAAATAAAAAAAATTGACCCACTTTTGGGCCCAACCGGAATTCCGGTTGGACCACCTGGGGTCCAACCGGCCGGTTGACGACACAGCCCTGCCTTAAACTACGGCTCCTGTTTTCCAATTATGCGCGTGTCATCCTTGCGCAGGGGCCATGCTAGTTTTCTCTGTAAAGACTGTAATATTTTGTTTCAATTTTAACGGATGTCCCCCGAAGGATCGGCCCACCTAAGTCCACTGCCCAACCAAGACAGCCCAGGAACAGTGGTGAATCCAGAGAATTTAAGACCTGATTGTTCACAATGATACATCGTACTACACATATTACTATGCACTGTATGCAGTTAAACACACCCCACTGAGATGCCGTGTGTGCTAGGAGAACATGAAACTGGTCATTAAGTGGCTGCCAGATTCGCTCGGTTCATACCTCCTCGCTTAGCACAGACAGCGCCACCAGGTGGGACCTGAACCTTATACAAAAGTTAACAATTTGACAATTTGACATGCAAGACAAGAGTTCGAACCCTAGTGAACACAATGAGCCTGCCAAGTTTGCCTCACTCTTATACACAGGTTGACATTTTGACAATTTGACAATTGTCAAATTGTCAATTTGTCAATTTGACAATTTGACAATTTGACATGCAAGGCAAGAGTTCGAACCCTCGTGAATACAATGGGCCTGCCAAGTTCGCCTCACTCTTATACAAAAAGTTGACAATTTGACAATTTGTCAATTTGCAAGGCAAGAGTTCGAACCCTAGTGAACACAATGGGGCTGCCAAGTTTGCCTCACTCTTTTGGCCCCACACTCCACTGTGCAGCTTCCAACTTTTTCACCAACAAGACGTAACAGCCGAGAGTACGATTAAGATGACATTATGCTTACCTGTAGTAACAGCCCTGATTGCAGTAGGTGATAGACCAATCTTCCGCCCTGCATTGCCTGCAGTACTGGCAACTCTACCAAGAACAGGCTTCACCACTTGCCGAGCAACTTGTATGGCCCGATTGATTTGTGTTGGGTTTTGTGAGCTACCACTCCTGAAAATCAGACATTCAGAATTTCGGACACAGAACGGCTATATTACTGTCACATCAAGCAATAGAGCAAGGCACAGAGACATCCCATCCATCCCAACCCAATCAAATCCCAATTTCACCCCACCCCACCCCACCCCACCCCATATTAGTCCAGTACGCTGAGCCCCGAAGGTCACAGCGGTTCACGACCATGTCCGAACACAATGGCTGGGACATGTACTGGTGGTTTAATATGACAATCTGTCTCTAGACTCTCTACTGATATTATTCTCTCCCTCTCTTGATATTATAATCTCTCCCTCTTGATATGACTCTCTCTCTCTCTCTCTCTCTCTCTCTCTCTCTCTCTCTCTCTCTCTCTCTCTCTCTCGCGCGCGCGCTCTCACTCTCATGTGCTTCTCTCCGTCACACACCACATGGCGGTCAAGCACCTCTCGTACGGTTTTGTCAAGACCTCAATCAATTTCAGCTGACTTCACACACTCATGCTTGATTGGAAACTTCATTGAAAAACTGAAACTGATCATAGACACTTGGAGCACTTGATATAGCAGAGAAACCTGGGCGCCCAGCTTCCCTGATCACACAGCAGTGACAGCACCATGCGGTATACTGCCAGAACTGTATGGCTATGGGTACCCCCTACCTCCCTACTATTCGCACTTCTTTTTTTTTTTCTTTTTCCTTTTTTTAAAGCCGGGTCTGGTCTGCTAGGGGGAGTGATATGAGCAGCTCCCCTAGTAGGTCCTTCCCTTGTCGCTCCATCTATTGGTGGGGAGCATCACCTGCTGGAAAACGGGTCCAGTGTCCGTTGAAACTTGAGTTGAGTCGAGTTCACTGATGTAGGTATAATGCCTGGGTGTACTTGGACTGAGACCTTTGTGGGTAGCAGGTAATACCTACTCACCCCTCCGCCTGGCGCCAAATATCTTCCGTGGAAAACAGTGTCCTGCATTCTACTCAGGCAACCGTGCAAAAAATTGCTGCTCTGTCCTTTGGAACATCCGTCAAAATTGGAACGATGAGGAAAAATTAGCATGGCACGAAGACAAAGAATCCACTGCTCAGATCGCCACTTCAACAAGCTGCTCTTCTCCGCCTAGGCCTACCGCATATACCGCGTATCCCAATTCTGCCGGTCGATAGATCCTTAGTACTCCTTCCCTTGTCCAGGCAAACGAGACCCTACATGTCGTAAGTTCAAATCTTGGGATGCTTGTACATATGATTTGAGAAAAGAATCCCAAATAATCGAAGGCTACAATACAATGACAAAAGGTATGTATTCCACACTCCTTTCAGTGGACGTGCTTTATTTACGCATCTTTCTACGCTTCGCGTCTTTGTCCTTAATGCGCGAAGGGGGAGTGCCCTGCCTGCTTTCTTTTAAATTTTAATTAATAATCCAGACCGTTCAGAGTCTTCAGATTTTACCACTTTTTATTCTTCTGGAATGTATATGGATTTTCGATTCGAATCCGGTTGGTTAAGTTGAGCATATGGTCCCGGACTCTGGACGATACTAACACACAATACCACAATACCATGATCGTGAAATAACACACAATACCACAATACCACAAAGTGTCGAAAAGCAAAACAACAAAAGAGTTGAAATAAAAGACTCGAAAACTCAAGAAATTACTTGGGGTAGGTTGCAGGTTCAAATCCTGCTGCCCCAAGACACCGCCGTGTGGCGGTGCCAAAGAGAGGTACTGGGTGACCACAGAATAGTTTTTTTTTTTTGGAAACAAATTTGGACCATTTCTCAATTTTTGCATGTCATCCTTGCGCAGAGGCCATGCTAATCTTCTTTCTCTGTATCGTTCCAATTTTGACGGATGCCCCATAGGGCCAAAATAATCTTACGCTGCAATGCAGGTCATTGCAGGATATAATTTTGTACCAGCTGACCTAGCTCAGTTGGTACACCCGTGAGCTGTTGAAACACAGAACCAATTGCAAATCCGCAGATGGAACCAGAAGTAAGTCTGAATTTACCTGGGGCCCGGGGCCAGGTACGGTCAGTTCATATATGGCATCTCAAGCCCATCGTACTTGCTTTTTTTTTCAAGTGTGGTTAATGGAAGCGCAAGGAAAATGAGCAATGGCGAGATGACAGAATCCAGATAACACGATCACATTGAAAGCCAGAAAGTCTCACAGTGCCTGGAAAGCAGCATTGCACCAATGTTACACCAAAGGAGAATCAAAACACAGAAACCGAATGTCAATGAGAGCTTACTCTCGTCATCACCAACATAAGAGTCCAGGCCCTTCCCCCTACTTGGCGCTTGACGCCGAGACTACTCCCCACACAGCTACTATCTGCCTAAGAATTGCCAATGCAACTGTTGACGTCAGCAGCCACCGAAGTCCGTGAAGATGTCCCCCAATGCAGACCATCGCCACTACCAGGTATGAGCCCTCACATCATCATCCTCATCTCTCTCTCTCTCTCTCTCCCTCGTCTTTCTCCCTTGTCTTCCCTCTGTACACCCGAAGACCACCACTGCGCCTTGCTGTTTATCCAAGCCCAGCCACTATGGAAGCTGGGCTATGGTGCTGCCCACAGCAGCGCCCTTCTTCTTACACGACTGCACGTGCGCAGCACCTTGCCCCGGCGCTAGCAGCAGCACGCGAGCAATCGCTCCAGCAGCGCTGCCGCAAACTAGCAAATGTCCGAATGGCCCGCCAGGCGGCGAGCTCTTTCCTATATGGAAAGAGTCCGGCCTGGCTGGGCTGGGCCTGCGCCCAGAAGCTTCCGGTAGGCCCCAGGTAACTGGGCTTCTGCTGCTGCTGGGCCTCGTTCGGTTACGCCTCCCAACTGTCTGCGTATGTTGCTGCGAATGTGGACCAGGGCCTGCATTTCAGAAAAGGCCTAGAAGGCCGTGGAAAGTATTTGCTGCTCGGGACCTGGGTTCCCTCAACCAACTGGGGCGACACAACTGCCTGAGCCCCAGATACAAATTAATGCGAGAATGAGGCTCCTCGGCAGGCCTAAGGGGCCCCCTTAGGCCTGCCGAGGAGCCTCATCCTCGCAGAAGACCCAAAGGATAACAAAGTACGAGAAGCGCTCAGAGAGAACGGGTGAAGAGGGAAGCAGTGGGGTCTGTGAAACTGTTTAGCATGATCATGAAACCGGCGACCTGACAGAAAAGGAAAAATTTCCTATTCAGGGTAGTCCAGGTCAGGATTGTGATAACAAGCTCCCAGACAGATGTTGGAGACATCAAACCAACTTCCCAACCACTCTGTCTCTCTGTCTGTCTGCAAGTCTCCGTCTGTCGGCCTTTTTGTCTGTATGTTCATCTGCTTGTGTGTCTGCCCATCTACCTGTGTGCGTGTCAATCTTATGTCCGCCTCTTGGCCTGCATGTCTATCCGTCTTCCTGTCTGCCTGTACGTTCACCCATCTGCCTGCCTGTCTGTTTGCACATCTGTATGCCTGTTGGTTTATCCCTCTGCGTGCCTGTCTGTGCGTCCGCCCAGCTGCCCGCCTGTCCAGCTGTCTGCCTGTCTGTCAGTCTGCCCGCCTGCCTCACCGTCTGTCCTCCGTCCGCACATCGGCTTGCCTGCTCGTCTGCCACTTGGCCTACTGCCCGTTCGCGCATTAGATTGGCTGCCCGCCGACCAGCTTTCAGTCTGCTCACCTGCCTGCCTGCCATCCCGCCCTCCAGCCAGAGTGCCTGTCCGTCTGCCCACCCAACCCTCCGCGCCCTCAGATATCTATCCGTTCGCCCATCCGTCTGCCCATCTAGGGAAAACTACTACAACCATGCTGATGAGGAGGAGCTGATGGTCTAATTAGTAACCCCCTTGGGATCCCATCTTTTTCAGAGTCAGCATCTCATACACCCTTCTCCCCCTCCCTGTCCTGACGTGTCCTCATTCAAATTAAACCTTGGAATTCACCTTATCGCCCGCAGGGCCACAAGCTAATTGCATTGCACAGACTGACCATCCTTGTTCTGAGTCAAAGCGATTGCGGATCTTACAGTGAGTGGGAGTGGACCTCTCTCCTCACTTGTTCCACAGCCGCTGCACAAAGGCGCGGTACAATGTCATCCTGCATCGTACAATCAAAAAAGCGATGTATCAACACATTGTTTGTTTGGTTCTTTAACAAATCCTTTTAGCAGCTATTCTCGCTATGCTGGGTGGGTGCCGTTCTGGGGCAGGCAAGCAGGAGGGACCCGCCCAGGAAAACTGGGTCGGTCAAAAAATGGGCAAGGATTCAAAGAAACGGAAATCTGACCTCAGGCCAGGAGTCCGGGTAGCCTGCAGTATCAGAATCAGCCTTACCCTTCCATTCGATGATGGGTCATGCAAGGGGGGGTAGGGGGGATAAACATGGTGTAAAGTTCAGAGGGGCATATCTTAACACTCATTTTCTATTTTATTTTCATATTGGAAGTAGTAAGGAATTCTCGGGAGATCCCCCATGAGAACTTGTTTGTATTGAACTTTTTATGCAACAAAGTTTCCCATATTTTTTGTTGAGTTGTTTTATTTTTCATTTTTGCTACTTTAATATTTTGCTGGGACCGCCCCGAACTCGGTCTGGACCTCGCCCATCAGTTTCTGTCTGAGTGGGTACCCAGGCAGAAAGGGCGAGGCAGGTGGGAGGAGAGGAGGTCAGGTGGAGGGAAGAAGCAAGGAGGGAAGGAGGAAGGGGGGGAGGGGAGGTTGGACAAAAGTTGGGTGGAGGAAGGAGGGAAGAAGTTGGGAAGAAGTTAGGCAGAAGTCGGGCGGAAATTGGGTGGAAGTTGGGTGAAAGTTGGGTGGAAGTCGACTGGAGGTAGAGGCGGGGGGGATGAGGGAGGGAGGAGGGAGGGAGGGCAGAGGGAGGAAGGAGGTTGGTGGAGTACGGGCAGGAGCGTGGAGGGAGAGTGAAGCGAGGGTGGAGTGGAGGACGAGGTCGGGTGGACGGAGAAAAGAGGTCAGGCAAAGGGTGGTAGGAGGTCGGGCAGAGGGAGGGAAGAGGTCAGGTGCAGGTCGAGCAGAGGGAGGGATGAGGTTGGGCAGGAGAGAGAAAGGGGAAAGTAGGGAGGGAGGAAGGAGGGAGAAAGGAGAAAGGAGGGAGGGAGGAAGGAGGGAAAAGTAGGGAGAGAGAACGGAGGGAGGGAGGCAGAGGGAGGGAGGAAGGAGGTTGGGCGGATGGAGGCCATGCTGAGGGAGGAAGGTGGTCGGCCAGAGCTTGGCCCGAGGGAGGGCGGAGTGACAGCGGAGGTTGGGCAGAGGAGGGGAAGAGGTTGGGCAGAGGGGGGGAAGAGGGATGAATGAGGTCAGACGAAGGTTGGGGGGAGGGAAGGAGGAAGGAGAGCAGAGGGAGGGCGGAGGGGGGCTAAAGGTCTGGTGGACGGAGTGAGAAGGGAGCAAGGAGGTCAAGTGGAGGTCGGGCTGAAGTCGGTTTGAGGTTGGGTATAGATTGGGTAGAGAGAGGGAGGAGGGAGGAAGGAGGGAGGAAGGAGGTCGGGCAGAGAGGGGGCGGAGGTTGAGCAGAGGGAGGGAGAAGCTTGTGCAGTGGCAATGGGTGGCCGAAGAAGACCTTCTGACACAGAACAGATTGCTGATAACTGCCAAAACTTAGTCTTCCACTCTGGCTCAATCCAAAGCAGACCGGTCATCTTTTTTCAGTGTTTTCACACTACTGTTGCGCATCTGAAAATCATTGTTAGGGCCTACTCGCACTAGCTGACTAGCACATAAAAATCAATAAAATTAAAGGCTACTTGACTCTCCTGGCTTGCAGCACAGCCGTGCAACCCGGGCAAGTCGCCCGGGGTTCACCTGCATGGGGCGCCCCATGCAGGCAAAATCAGCACTTTTTTTTTTTTTTTTTTGTGGGTGGAGGTTTTCTGCGTGTCCAGAGGAGCCTAAATCTGGGCTCCTTTCTTCTTTTGAGTGTTGACTGTCAAGGGGGGTGAAGTGGGGTATACATTGGTTTTAAAGGGGCTAATTTGGCTAAAGGGGTTGAAAGGGGGGTGATTTAGTCTGATTCTGCTGTTTTCTTTTCTATCTTCGTTCATGTGAGGAATTCGGATGTGACCCTCAGCCAAAAGTTGTTTGTGTTTCAATTCTACATAACGTAATTTTTTTCTGGATTTTTTTTTTTTTTTTTGTTGGCGACGGGGCTGCCCGGAACCCTGACCGGGATTCATGCCCAGGGAGCTGGACATGTATCCGGACACAAGTTGGTTGCCCGGGCGCCTGGACAAGCAGCCTAGATAAAATCACAAATTTTGCGTTGGCGATTTTGCAATTATAGCACACCGCCTGGCCACACACCTCTCCCGCATATAGCACAAAACATAAAAGACACAACCGCGACCAGTCCTGCAAATGCGAATTCACGCGCTGTGCAGTCACAGCCCCCGAGGCACAAAAACTCAATCATGAACACAAAAAGAAATCACAGGAAAAAATTACGTATTTTCAATTTTGTGAGCATCTCCAGAGGTGCCCGCAAAATAGCTATGCCCACGGCTTTCCAGGTCGCTGACATGCACATACCCAAATACGTGAATTCACAAAATACGACGAATGTGTGACCCTAAAAGTTACATAAATTTTGTGATTTTGCGATTTCACGTGCTAGTGTGAGTATGCCCTCAGGGCGGATCACAGCCACAAGGCTCAGGTTTCTTCTCGACTACACGTCATGTGACAACAAAGTTACGGCGGGTGGCAATCTCTTTTAATGGAAAAGAACAATCCCGCTTTGCATTGGGAAAATTCAGAATAGTTGTTGATCTATCACTTTTTTTTTTTCCCCTTTTTTTTGGACTATCGCCTTTTATACACCAGTGATTCCGGAGCTGCCCTGCCTAACTGTACAGAGTTTCGCATGGCTAGGTGCCCAACCAGTTTCGGGACGTCAAACTAAAAAAAACGTTTCAGATCCCAAAAATCCCCAAGATGATTTTGTTGCGGAGCCTCTGTTTCAATTTTCGCTCCTGTAAGGACCACCCTACCCCACATCTCCTGCACCTTTCCGCAGATTTCCTGGTAACTGCAGTCTTCCCTTGAACACAGCACCCCAATCACAAGTCTATACAGGCTACCATCCAATACAAAAAATACTAAAATAGTCATGATGAGTGCGCATTGTGCTTTGAAGGCGACCGCGTGCTGGAGAATAGGTGGTCCCGAGAAATCCTACCGCTTTACAAAGGAGCATGCAGCAGGCAACAGACAAGACTTGGGTTCAAATCTAGATCTTCCACACAATCTTGTCCTCTTTCACGGCACAGCGGGTGACCCCAGCCCTTGTGTGTTTCTAGCATATAGTACGCACCTGAAGAATAATCGAATGAATGTACTCTTCCCGAACTGCAATGTCATATGACACGCACGCAGGTGTTGCGAAGCTCCAGCAGGAGATCATGTCGGGGTGCACTCCAAGTACGGACAAACCTGACCCATCGCCAGAGTGGCCATTACTTTCAACAAGTTTTTGCCGCCAAATCATCGACAACAAGCATACCACACCACCTCCAAGGGAATGGCCCGTAAGCACCAGACTGTAACCCTGCAACCCAGCCCCGGATCAGTGAACGAGAGCAATCCAAAATAAGGACAGTCCGAAAGTAGTCTCATCCTTCCACTGAACTTCATCATCCAAATCCAGAATCCAAATGAAATTCAGCATCGAAATCAAGAATCCAAATGAAATTCAGCATTTCTGTGGAAGCTTCAAAGCCAGCGCTGTTGACCCAGGACGATCTTAGGATGGGAAAGCTGCTGAAAACTTAGTCAAAACTCACAATGCGGCTGCTGTAACTGTTGAAATCGTCAATCTTCAAATTGGGCCAGCTGCATACCTCTCTAACATGAACTGAGGGCATACTCACACTGCCAGTTTAACCTGGACGCATCTGACTGCAATCACGTCCAGAGCTCAGTTGAAAAAGTCGTAGTGTGAAAAGTGAAAGGATTTCACACAGTCAGTCCACAAAGGTCCCGGTCCCAGTTCATCCCGCAGGCCACAGTACCGGCAGGGTACGCCTAGGGTCTGTCGGCTGAGGTCGTAGGTAGGTAGCTACAGTACCTGCAAGTACGTCAAGTCCCTAAAGTTCAATTTTGCAGCAGCCTACCAACGAACGCCGGGAACTTTCTCAAAATGGCAGTAGGGCAAAGGCAGAGGCCGCAGGAGGCTGGTACCGATTGAAGCATGCATGAACAGCACACTGCAACTATATATTTTTGGCTACAACGCCGCAAGGCATTCAGTTGTTCATGTCGCAGAATTGTGGAAGCGCTGCAAGAGCTTGTGCGGTCAAGCGACCTGGATGACGAAGAAGCGCAAGGGGGAGAAGTGCACAGCGCCTGGCTGCTACATTCAGCCATAGCCAGGTGAGTGGGGAGAGGTTCCCCGGCGGCCATCGCCGCCCAAGATCAGCAAGGCACACCGTAGTAGCATTCACGGTAGATCTAGGACGTCGAGAGAGGAACAGTGAATGGGGAATAGTGAGTGAGGAACAGTGAACGAGGAACAGTGCAAGAGGGAAAGAGAGAGAAGTAGACCATCGAGACACACACACACACACACACACACCTGTCTCTTATACACATCTAGATGTGTATAAGAGACAGGAGAGAGAGAGAGAGAGAGAGAGAGAGAGAGAGAGAGAGAGAAGAAGCAGCTGAGGGAGGAGGAAGTTGGGTACATATCTGAGGCATGTTGCAGCGGTTGAAACCGCTTATTCCCAAACTTTTTCAAATGTATATACAGTATATTATTTTACTTTGAGTGGAACTTCGAATTTGCACTGTTCATGGACATCGCTCAAGCTTGTGTAACTTCCATCTGATTGCTCTCAATTTGCATGGTGTATTCTGAGTTGAATCTTGAGAGGTTCATTGCAAAAGTATGCCCTGACATGGGACCTTTATATTGGACCAGTCAACACCGGCGTGAGATAGCATGTCGAGTTGCCAACTAAGTACTCCTTTGTCCCATGTAAGTTGTAATCATGAAAAATGATACTAAAACTCTAAAATCACAAATGCAGAGCATTTAATCACAAATGCAGAGCATTTTGCTAGCAGGTGAGCCAACTTCAATATTTGAAGATTTGAACCTTGTAGCACATGGGCAAAACTATAAACGTTTTCCGCACAATGTTGAAAGCACACACTGGTTTGGTTTGTGACCGTTTGATGAAGCAAGCGAGAGAGCCAGTAATGGTGATCTGTGTGGGCGTGAGAAAACTGAATATCCCCAATCACAGATTCCTCTACTGGAAGGAAAAAAAAAAAAAAAAATCCTCCTATAGAAGCCACTTCAAACCTAGGTCAGACGGCTGGTTTAGACTCAGGGACGTAGGGATCAGGTGCTGGATAAAGGGATGTACGGATCGCAATGCAAGCATCAGGGGGGAGATCAGATGACCACCCATTTTCTTCCTAGTATCAGGAATGAACTACAATAAAGCGTATTTGCGTCAATCCCCAGAGAAAATTGAACTGAATTGGACACTCGTTGATTTCAGTCCTGAACCCTTGACACAAAAGAACAAACACACTATACATCGTAGTCCCATACCCTGAAAGGATGTGATCTTAGAGCATGCACACAATAGGAAACCTCGTCGAGACAAGATGTGCAACAGGCAAGCATGTCCAAAGACTCTCGTCATTTTTTGTCATGACAACTCGGCATCAGTATTCGTGTATTGAATTTTCTCCAGACAAATCTTATTCTAGCCAACACAGTCATCCACAGTCACTAATATGGCAGATCTCACCCGCAGAAAAAGACCACCATCAACATGGGCCGATCATGCTGAATGGAGAATAACATGGAAACAAAACTGCACACAAGTCAAATGCACTCTAAGGCATGATAGTGTCTGACTACTGGCAACATTGACCTGAACTGCGAGAAATACAACACCCACACCTACAGACTCCCAGTACTCCCCAAAAACAAAGAGAGAGACAGACACACACACACACACACACA